GGAGTCTTAATTGCAAGCGCAATTAATGGAAAGTAATGTAACAGAAAAATCCCGTATCAGTAGGAAGGTGGAGATTGATTTGTAAATATAATAGAATTAATATTTAACTAATTACTAAATACCTGAGTTTTGCAACTACGAAACTTAATGCCTGATTATTGATTTTTTCATAGTTAATGCCTGAACCATAAATTTTTCCCTTATCTTGTTCCCTTGGCCGTGCCAATTATTGGTGGGCCCTGAGTTCTCTTGATATTGGGCTTTTCTTGGAAACATTTCGTACTATTGGGCCCAGCCCTCAAAAAAGCCCAATGACATGGTTTTACTTTTTAATGTGGGATTTCTAAACTGAGTGGTAAGAAATTGTGTCAGGACGATACTAGGGTGCCAGAATTTTTTTGACACCCTAGGTGACATACACACACAATAGGGGTGGGTGGGGGTATGTTTTTGCATTTTTTTTATTCATGTGGGGTCGGCACAGGTCCCAGTCGAATGTGAGAGTAGGTCAACCGGGTGGGTAAGTTTATTCTGGCAAAGGAGCTTAATTCATTGTGTCAAGAGTTCACTGTACTTAACAATACAATAATTTAACTTGTTCCAAGATATGTAAGAAACAGAGACTGCAAAAACAAAAGTTATAATAAACATTTAGCAATTATCTAGTCGAAGTCGAGTGTGGACTCTTCAAAGGGAGCTCATTTAGAGGATACTGAAATGGGACTTCTTACTTGATGGATCCCATCACTCCAAGTATACGAACCGAATGCAAACTCATTTTTCTTCCCAGGACTTTTAGCTTTAACTGTAATGCTGAAGCTGCGCTTTTCCCCCATTGCCCTAAAATGTAGAGTTGTGGGAGAGATCTTTATAGAATAACCCTGAGGGGGGTTTATTCTTGCAGAATATGAAGAGTTTTCCGCGCCAACATTTGTAACGGTTCTATTGACCGTCACCACTTTTCTAAGGTTAGCAATCGCAAGTGATGGATAGTTAAGATTACTCGGCGAAGGTAAACCTCGAGGACACTCAAAAGGATCGAGCAAAAATCTAGTGCTACCGCAGAGGAACAATAGATAGTCCATATAAGAAGCATCGTAAACAAGTCCCGTATAAATAAGTGACATTGTGTCGCTTTTTTCATTTTACACATTATTTTTGACTTCCTAAAAACCTTTCACATGATTTTTCAAAACATCCCTAATTTTAAGGGTATTTTTGTAAGTACCCCTTTTACTTTTTAATGTGGGATTTCTAAACTGAGTGGTAAGAAATTGTGTCAAGAGTTCACAGTACCTAACAATACAATAATTTAACTCGTTCCAAGATATGTAAGAAACAGAGACTGCAAAAACAAAAGTTATAATAAACATTTAGCAATTATCTAGTCGAAGTCGAGTGTGGATTCTTCAAAGGGAGCTCATTTAGAGGATACTGAAATGGGACTTCTTACTTGATGGAGCCCATCACTCCAAGTATACGAACCGAATGCAAACTCATTTTTCTTCCCAGGACTTTCAGCTTTAACTGTAATGCTGAAGCTGCGCTTTTCCCCCATTGCCCTAAAATGTAGAGTTGTGGGAGAGATCTTTATAGAATAACCCTGAGGGGGGTTTATTCTTGCTGAATATGAAGAGTTTTCCGCGCCAACATTTGTAACGGTTCTATTGACCGTCACCACTTTTTTAAGGTTAGCAATCGCAAGTGATGGATAGTTAAGATTACTCGGCGAAGGTAAACCTCGAGGACACTCAAAAGGATCGAGCAAAAATCTAGTGCTACCGCAGAGGAACAATAGATAGTCCATGTAAGAAGCATCGTAAACAAGTCCCGGATCAGCAGCTTTTGATGGCTGGACATGGCCTGCCCCGTACTCGAATGGACTTGCAATATTTCCTAGTGAGTCTGTTATTGGTTTGCCCATATTGTTGGTTATTTTTGCTGAAAAAGAGAGAGAGAATTAGGCCATAAGAAATTTTCAGAAACTCATTATAAGTACTCCCAAGAGCACAATGAAGCATATATATACCAGTTGTCATCATAGCCGATCTTATAGCAGCACTACTCCAACGAGGATGTATTGCCTTAAGAAGTGCGGCTACAGCTGCAACGTGAGGGCAAGACATGGATGTCCCGGAATCAATTTTGTATTTAACGACTCGATGATCAGAAGGCACATTTAGGGGAGGAGCCTCCTCACTCCATGCTGCCAGTATATTTAGTCCTGGAGCAGTAATATCAGGCTGAAAAGAGAGAAAATTGTATTAAAATAGACACCCCGATAAATTTGTTAGTTTGAAGTACTAATATTACCTTAAGAATGTTAGGTTCAATAACATTAGGGCCTCTCGAGGTGAAAGGAGCCATGAATGGAGCCGGTTTAGTGCCTACAACGGTCTTTGGTTGAATCAACGTCACATTTGGATTCTGATTACTTTCAATGTAATTGTAAACGTCGATTCTTTTATCAGCAAAAACAACAGTTGCTGGAATCAAGTAAGGCTTGCTAACTACGCCTCGTCCATCATATCTGTTTCCTAGTACAGTTGCTATACCACCTGCTCTTTGCACCTCTAATGACTGAAAGACCTCTCCTCTCCGGCAGAAAACAGCTTTTCCCTTTACGATATTTGACGAAAGAGTACCAGGTAGGCAGAATCTAATAAACAAAAGATGGAATAAGAGAAGTTTCAAATATAAAAATTAAGGATTATAAGATAAGAATAAATAAATAGAAATGAGAGTTTGATAAGTGGATATTATTTGTGGGTTCCACAAAATTGGTTTGGTAGATGATAAACAGATTATAAACAGGTACCAAACAAGGGAAAGAGAATTTGTACCCGTTTGTGTTATTTGAGGTTGTCCCTGGGATTTCGACATCTCCAGCATAAACAAGGGGATAAGTCATATTCTTAAAAGGAGTTATCGATTCTCCCTGTCAAGAAAGAAATCATTTTGTTAATTATTCAACCATGTCTTTCTGTCTGACAAAAAATGAACTATACAATGATTTTTTTTCCTTAATTACCTCAATTATCACATCGTTTCCAAGCACAATCGGAGATGAAAAGATCCGATCTAGGCTACTTGCACCGACTGTAATGATCCAAGGGGCTACATTCGATATAGAAGACGAGGAAGGTCCCGAATTTCCAGCACTGCATGCTACTACAATATTTCGTTTCACTGCATGCAACGCCCCAATTGCAATTGGATCTTGTATGTATGGCCTACTAGTCGATCCACCCATTGAAACACTAATTACATGAACGCCATCCATGATTGCATCATCGAAAGCAGCAAGAACGTCGTCATCCAGGCACGTGTTCCCCTCTGCTGCGGTCAGGCCTGGAATAGGCCAACATACTTTGTACATGGCCAGACGCACAAGCGGAGCTCCACCAGTGGCAGTGCCGCTAGCAAAACCACCAAGGGAAGAAGCATTAGGAACTCTTCGGCCTCCAATGGTCGAGGATGTGTGAGTTCCATGACCATTTTTGTCCCTGGGAGATCGGAAGTCCAATCTGTGGTCAAGTGGACCGAAATTGGCCTCGTAACTCTTCAAGTAGTATCGAGCTCCGATTAATTTTCTACCAAAACACCAAAACTTTTCATCATTTTTTTATCATAACACATAGTTTATGTAAACATTATATATCCAAATTGTGAAAATTACCTATTACAATTAGATGTATTAAAACCAACGCCACTCTTGCATTTTCCTTTCCATGACCTGGGAATAGGTTCCATCCCATTATCATTGAAACTCTCCGACTCCGGCCATACACCTAAGGGAAGAAAGTTAGCTTTAAAATACTCGAATAGATGTTTGGCCGGGTTTAAAAAATTATTTATAGTAAAGATCTTTTGGAGTCAAAGTTGAAAATAAGTAACTTGCAACTATTGTAAAAATAAGTTCTCTTCAAGTCACACGTGAGAAAAATTAACTTATCCGAACATGATATGAGATAAACAAAAAAAAAATTAAAAATAAGTTTAAGCCCATGCACTCTCAAAAAGTGTTTTGACCTCATTTCAATCACGCATTTATCAATAAAATAATATTATACGCAAATCCAAAATTTTTCTTTATTTTTTAACCATACATTTCCATCGATACACTATTCAAAAATTCATTTTTTTATTACAAAAATAGGTCTGAAACAAGCCCTAAGTAACTTTACCAGTGTCCAAGACCCCAACAATGACATTCTTCCCGTAACTTGCTTTGCGAAGTAATTCTTCTCCTTTGGGAGGGGTTAAATCTCCGATTCCTTCGAGTAAGTTAATAAAATCCCACGATCTTGTTGTGTGAAGCCCTATTTTAGTCGGGTGGCTATGGAACACTGATATCACCCCATCGATCTCTGATCAAGGAAAATAGATCATTAAGAAGCAAACCTTGTTATGGATTAAACTCTAATTCTTACTCATAAGAGCAATAAAACCAAAAAACAAGTAAAAGCAAATTCACAGATTTATAGTTATTCACAGCTATACGAATACATCTATATTTTCACTATAATGCTTCTGAAAAATCCTTTATATAACATGTTGATCTGCGAATAAACCTATAATATGACTACTCCACAAGGTCGACTCTATATTTATGAATGAAAATTTCATTATTAAGCCAACTGATTATTTAGATACTTGAAGCAGTAACCTGATAGCTTGGAAGCTTCTTCTGGACTGAGCAATGCCGAGAAGCCATTGATGACACTCTTGTAGCAATAAATTAAGCAGTTTTTAGCTTCCTCTTTGGTTCCCTTCACAGAATATAAATAAGAATGATAAAATTCTTCAATTTCTTGAGAAGTTTTAGTCCCACTATGTTCTCCAAGGTACACTATATACACCTGAAAAAGATTCAAATCTTCCATCACATTCAGCTATAAAAAGAATGCATAAATCTAGACTAGCTCGTCTCTCCAACAACGTGTTTTGAGAAAAATGGAACTGTTCGACGTTAATTTGACACGAGAGGGAGAAGAATTAAAGGGAGAAGAAAAAAATTACCTGCAGTTGTTTTTGATCAGCAGAGGAAGCTAAGATCTGGAAAATGAGAAGAAAGGGAATAACACTAAAGTAATTAATCATTTTCCTCAAGCTTGGACTGCTTTGGAATTAGCTTTGCTCATTATTTTTTACAGCTCCTTTACACAATTTATAGAGAAATAGCTCCTGAACGACACAAATTAAATAAATAAATAAATACGATTCAAGAATGAATTAATGCCCTCAAGAACATTAAATTTTAAGCCCTCACTCACTCTGCAAAGAATCATCTAAGCAGAGGTAACCGTACGTCTTCGCTCTAATATTTTATATTTTTAGATAAGTTGCTTCAACATGCAAAAATTATTCAAGTGTTACAAGGTCTACACATGACAATGCATATTGATGATAAAATTTTAATAAATTAATGATTTTCCTCTTTGATTAAAGAGCTGAAATTGTCAGACAAGCCAGTTCAACAATAGTTAATGTTAGGTTTTAGTTGTATTGGCAATTTTTTTTTTACAAAATGACTATTGTAAAAGAATGGGATGTTACAAAAGAGTTGTAAAAGTCCACGAGGGTTGTACAGATGAATTAGGAGTCTTTGGGTTCGAATATGGAACAAGAGGAAAGAGTCTTCGGATTTACGCTAGCATGTCGTCTAGCTGATGCTCGAGCGTCCAAAGCAGAATCATTGTCATCCACTTATCACCTAGCTCTCGCTCGAGCGACATATCTCTCGCTCGCCTGTCGTTAGCCGACACTTGAACGGCGGTGTTTTCCTAGAAATTCTAGTTTGCGTTTTTCAAGAGTTTTTCGGTTCGCCCCACCCAGGTCCTCCAATTCATGGTGAAACATCATCCAAAAATAGCTCCGTTTGATAGAGGTCTGCCTCGATAGCAAAACGAGGTAGTTCCGTCTTCTTCAATCGACAGGTTTGGGAATGGTTTTTCACAAAATTAGCAACACACAAATTGTTAACAGCATCATACCACCACTAGTGTGTTCTCAATTGCTTCAATTGATGCCCTTAATCAACCTAATTTTGGATTGTAATTCTGTCATGAATCACTCGCTAATTAGGAAAATCTTGCCTTTTCCAATTGACTGAATTCGAGCTCTTTTCCAGTAAATTCAACCCACAATCCCTCAACAACACCGAACGATGATGTGTATACCCTCAATTGATCCAATTGTGTCACAAATTACTCCAATTTTGGCTTCGTATTCTACACATTGGCCTTTCTGTTTTCATATTCTACCCATTGGCCTTTGAGTGGTGATAACTGTTTTTGGGAAGCGGTGCCAACATTGTGGGTGCTAGTGACGACCAGCCTTTAGGCCTCACCGGTGTGGTGAGAGTTGGGGAAGAAGAAAGTGTCGACTATCGACCTTTCTATTTTCATTAGAGTGGGGAAGGTGGGTGTAGATTTCTTTTTTTATTATTATTTAATTATTTTTTGTAAAAACATGTAAAGTTATCATTTTGTTCTTTTAAAATTATTCAAAATTGTGATCAATGTCAATTCTTTGATCAACTAATAATCAAATAGATGATTTCCATACAATTGGATCTCTACTACATATTTTTTGAAAGTCCAGGGACCGATGCTGCAATTTTTCCTTAAATAATAGCTACTATATTCTATTATCCTAACGTTGTCCTATGGATATTAGCGAGCCATGCCAACTCGCGAGCCAAACTCTAGGCTCGTGTTCGGCTCAAGTAAAAATTGTTCAGGTTTTTTTTGGCCAGAGGCGAGCCGAACTTTTGCTCGACCAAAAAATCTAGGCTCGGCTCGAGCCGAGTTAGCTCACAATTTTCTTTTTCAACTTTTTTTTAAAAAAAAAGGCAGCTAACTTAGCTGACTGTGCAGCTACAGGCAACGTACAGTAGGCAGCCTGTTGCAGGCAACTACAAAGCCTGCGTGTAGCTCCTAGGCAGCTGCCAGAATTTTTTAATTTTTTTATTGCATATTTTTTTTAAGGCTCGTGAGTCATACGAGCTAGCTCGGGCTCGTGCCAACACCCTAAAATGGGGCTCGACCCGAGCTTCCGAGTCGGTCTGAGCTTTTTTCGAACTGAGCCATGGACCATTCGAGCTAACGAGCCAAATTAATACCCCTATGCTGCTCAATTAAATATGGAATAGAACTTAATCCCAACGCCTAAACCATTTACTGAATATTTTATTATTAAGAACTTTTCATCAATTTGATTTTTACTATGGCTTCCCATAGTTTATGCAAAGATAACCCTTGATTTTAAAAGTTTATTAATTAATTAAAGTTACACATGGTTACAGTTCTATTAAAATCTTTGAGTCATTAATGGATAATCACTTTTTCTTCCGAAAACCCGGAAATTGGAACATGCATGTGTGACTTGATTTCGTGATTCAAATCTCTAGGAGCAGTTGACGTTAACTTTTTTCCTTAATTGATCTCTATCTAATTATCAATTTTTTTTATATCAGCTTAATCGAGAACTAAAATAGATATTTATATATGAAGTACTACTCCTAAACAGGGGTGGCAAACGACCACAGCTCCCGGGGTGGATTCTATTCATGGGTGGTTCGTGCTCGTTTTTGAGACCAGTTGTTACGGGTCATAGATGGAAGCGACACGTGGCACTATATTTTAGCAGCGGAACCAGCTTAATTAAATCAGGGTATATTTTCCTAGTCTCGGACGTGGGTTCCGAGGCCACTGCTGTTAACTA